CATATGAATAATTCAAATAAGAGAAAGTCCGTATCACCAAGCACTCCAAATAAGCCAAAGTACGTGTCACAACCAAGAAATGTCACAGCCACCACTAATCTTGGAAGCTTAAATAATTCAATTATACAAAGAATACATAATTCTTCGCCTCCTCCGCCGCCATCAAGAAAACCAGATTTTGATTGGATTTTAGATGATGATGATAGCGAATTGTTTTCTAGAAATTTAATTAACATTAAAAAAGATACAAAAAAGCATGAAAGATGTATATTTAAATCAATAGATAATTTGCAGAACAAGGAGGACATTAATTTAGAAAATAATATTGTAAAGAAATGTTTAAAAAATATTCATACAATTAATAGTGATGACGATAAAGAGAATTCAGAAAGCTCTTGCTCAGAAGATATATTAATCATTGGTGTAAAAAGATATAAGAAAAAAAACAAACAAAATAATAATAATAATAAATTATTAGAAAAGAAACTTAATGGTGGCGGTGAATTTTCTACGCTGGCGAATCACAAAAAACTTGAACCATCACTGACATTACCATTAGAAATCGAAGAATCCCTTAAAGAACTGTGTCGTATTGCTGAATTAACACCTGAGGTTCATCTAGAAAAACTTATCGAATTGTTTGAAAAATTATATTTAGAGATTGATGTCAATCGGGATTGGCCTTTACAATCAAAAATATTAATGTCACGAATATCAAGGATGATAAAAACGATTGGAATTATTTAATGTTATTATCATTATTGTTGTTTTTTAGTACTGGTTGAATTTGTTCATATTCACGTTGTAACATAATTTGTTTTTCAAAAAGGCAATTATCGTAAACAACCCTTTTTTAACTTTAATTGGGCGTGTATGATTTTTAGGCCAATCAAAATTGGTGACAATTTTTATCCAATCAAATTTTTGGGGTAGTTTCTAAATTTGTACTAGTTACACAACGAGATTCTTGGACATTTTTGTATGAAAACCCTTACTTTATTAAGTAAAAATGTTACATCCCAAAAAAGTATATTTTAATTCTAATTCTAATCCAATCAAAATCTTCTTGATAAATAAAATAAACAACATCAAAAAAAAAAAATAATATTTATTTATTTAATATATATTTCAAACACGCACATAAAAAATGATTAAAAATTGCAATAACGATAATAGTAAATATAGTCTACGAACTAGAAATTTGGATCAAATTCGCCCATACACCATAGAACGTAGAAAAGCTGCAGCACAGGGAATCCCTGTTTACGTTGACGAAATAGCTAGAAAAATACAAAACAAAGATTGCTATGTATTAGAAGATATAGACCGTGAATTTGTAGTGGAAGACAAAAAAAAGTTGGATGATGCTGATGAATCGTCAAAATTTGATATATCTTTAGATGAAGTTTCATCT